AAAAGAAAAGAAATTGATTATGGAACGTTTTATTTTAACATGATGAATAAAATATTTTAAGACAAGGTGTTCAAATATTTTCCAAATCATTTCCAAAAAATATGTATGGTATCAGATTGATCTAATTTCTGTGCACTGAGGACAAGCAAGCTGTAGGTTACAAACTGAACTCTCCAATGCAAGAACAAGATGCATTTCTTCCTTTAGGAGGTGCTATTGTCAGAAGACAATAAAAAGGTTTCAGTTTTGTTTTTGCATGTGGGTGGGTATTCTGTTTGTAATAATTGTTTGGATACACATATATTTAATATGCTAGTTGTGATAATTTCATGCCAAGTAAAAATGTTCATAGTCATATTTTATGTTCCTAAAGTAACAGAATGACTTTCAATCTAGAAAAGACAAAAGAAATGCTAATGTAGCATTTTTTCAATTTTTCCGAAAATTTCCGTTTTCCCCCCGAAAAAAACTGGAAAAAACCCGGGTTTTTTCCCAAGCTTCAAAATTTCCGGAAATTTTACATCTCTAAGCAGGGCTGACCTCGCTTAGCTTCCAAGACGTGACGAGATAAGGGCTAGCCTGGGCCATCCAAGTCAGGGGAAACACAGAGGGGGTTTGCCATTGCCTGCCTCTGCGTAGCAACCCTGGACTTCCTTGGTGGCCTCCCATCCAAGTCCTAACCAGGGCTGACCCTGCTTAGGTGCCGAGATCTGATCAGATTAGGCTAGCCTGAGCCATCCAGCTCAAGGCAAGAGAGAAACAGAGGTGGTTCGCCATTGCCTGCCTCTGCCTAGCAACCCTGGGCTTCCTTGGTGGTCTCCCATCCAAGTACTAGCCAGGGCCAACCCAGCTTAGCTTCTGAGATGGCTAGTCTTGACCATCTAGATCAGAGTAAATAGGGCTGTGGTGCAGCAGACGTGCTCTAACAATGATAGAATCACAGAATCACAGAGTTGGAAGGGACCATCTAGTCCAACGCCCTGCTCAATGCAGGATCAGCCTAGACCAGTGGTGGCGAGCCTATGGCACGGGTGCCAGAGGTGGCACTCAGAGCCCTCTCTGTGGGCACGCGTGCCATCGCCCCAGCCAGGCCCAGACCGTCATTAAAGTGTCGGATTCTCTGCCAAATAATTTTAAGTAAATGAAAGCATTTGGGATTGCTTTCCTTACTTTGTTTGGATCATCTTAAGTGAATGCATGAGTGGTTTTTTCTAAAGTAAAACCTCAGTATTCAGGTTAAATTGCCGTGTTGGCACTTTGAAATAAATAAGTGGGTTTTGGGTCGTAGTTTGGGCACTTGGTCTCTAAAAGGTTCGCCATCACTGGCCTAGAGCATCCCTGACACGGGTTCGTCCAGCCGCTGCTTGAAGACTGCCAGGGAGGGGGAGCTCACCACCTCCCCAGGCAGCCAATTCCACTGTGGCACAGCTCTGTCAAAAAGTTTTCCCTAAGTTCCAGCCGGCACCTTCCCGCCCTTAGTTTAAACCCAAAGTGTGCCAAACTGAGTCTTGTGGGCGGTCCCGTTTGCATTCACCTTGAGGCCTGCCAGTTAGAGTAGATCATTCCGACCTTGATAAACCAGTGGTCTGATCAGCACAAGACCATTTCATGCATTCGTGGGCTCGTCATAAATTTCTCAAAGACCTTTTAGAAAAAAGCAGGGCGGACACATCAGCCTGCGAGACCCCATCCGACTCTCTGCTGATGCCTTCACGAGATGTGCAAAAAGGATAGCTTTTTTTTTATGGCTCATACATCACTCTATAAACGCCTGGAGAGATAAGCCAGGGTTGGAATTCAAATAAAGGAGGCAAATTAAGTTGCCAATCACAAAAGCGGCCACGTGTCCCCCATCCTACGCTGGAAGAAGAATGCAGGGTATCATGTACAGTTGGTGAATTACTGTTCGCTGCTACTAAATGATACGGCTCAGAAACCAGATGCTTATATGATTATACATGTTATAACCACGGCTAGGATTTTGTATGCAAAGTACTGGAGAAAAGAAGACGTTCCTTCAAAAGAAGAAATAATTTATAGATTACTGGAAACGGCGGAAATGGACAAATTAACTTTAAAATTACGAGATTAAAAAAGACGAAATCTTTGAGAAGACCTGGTCAAGACTTTACAGATGGATTGAGGAATACCTTAAAAGATGTAAAACGTAATTATTAAAATATAAGCTCTGCATTTTAAATGGTTAAATTGGGTAGGTGCATAAAAGAAATGATTCCATCGATGTAAAATGTAAGTAGTCAAAATGAGTACATTTCCGTGGTCATGTGGCCAACATGACTAGACACCGAGGTGCACAGAACGCTGTTATTTTCCCACCAAAGCGGTACCTATTTATCTACTTGCAATTTCTTGCTTTCGAACTGCTAGGTTGGCAGGAGCTATGGCCAGAGACGGGAGCTCACTCCGTCCTGCGGCACCCGGGTCTCAAACTGCCGAACTACCGACCTTCCGACCTGCGGTTCAGCGTCTTAACCACTTGAGCCACCGCACTTGAGCCACCGCGGCTCCCTTGGTATCTGTAGTTACTGTCTTTTTCTTCTGTAGAAAACTAATAAAATGTATTTTTTAAAAAAATGATACGACTCGATAGACGGGGAACTGAGCTGTGTCCGTTGGAGACCAGCTGCAACTCCAGGGGATCTCCGGGTCCCACCTGGACAATGGCAACCTTAATGGCCAACCTTTTTAGGACACATCTGGCCCAGCCCTGGCCGATTGCCCTTGCGGGACACATTGCAGCGGTCCCTGGGGCCAAAAGCCCATTCCTCACGAACCTCCCCAGCCGACCCATTTCTCTCCTTTCCGCTAGCTCTCCTTTGCTTTAATCCCCCACGGGAGCCCTCCGGCGTCTCCAACCCGTCCCCCATTTCATTATCACACAATTGGTGCCGCACGGCTGCTTGGAATGACCTGTCACTCGGCATCTCCTTCCACCTTGAGACAAAGTGTCCCTGGCGTTGCCGGGAAGCGTTCTCTAAAGGAGACCCAATCATCCGTGGCTTTACTACTTAAGAAGCCAATTACCGGCAATGCTCAAGGCGATGAGGTGCCACACAGAAAGATCCTTTCTTCACCGACCCCCCCCCCAGTCCCTTGACCAGTTTCCACTAAGAAAGCTCCCCCTCCCCCCAGTAACGGGTCTACTACAGTAACGGGTCTGGAGCCACAGTACCCAAGATTCTGGCGAATTGGGGGTGGCTGCCTGTGGAGGGTGGGATCCGAGGGAGAGATTTCACCTTGAATATATGAGCCACCCAAGATTCTGCCGTTTGAACCTGCCATTTTCCCCGGGGGAACTGATAAGAACATAAAAATATCAGAAGAGCCCTGCTGGATCAGACCAGTGGTACATCTAGTCCAGCCTCATGTCCCACTCAGTGGCCAACCAGTTCCTCTAGAGGGTCAACAACAGGGGAGAGAGGCCGAGGCCTTCATAAGAACATCAGAAGAGCCCTGCTGGATCAGACCAGGGGTCCATCTAGTCCAGCATCCTGTCTCACACAGTGGCCAACCAGTTCCTCTGGAGGGCCAACAGCAGGGCAGAGAGGCCGAGGCCTTCCTAAGAACTTCAG